ACGCTCTTTTTCTTCCTGTGTTTACCTTTCTTTAAGCCCCGCGTTTCCTTAAATGGAGTAACTGAGAAAAGCAATAAGCGTGGCGTTGCCCTGAGGCGGTATGCTCGGGGGCCTGGCTGGTGGAGGCAGGGTGTCTGGAGCCGCTCTCTTTAGCGCATGCTGTCAGGGCGCTGCTGGGGTCAGCGCGTGAGCACGCGTGGCGTGCGCGACTTGGGATTCAGAGAGTTTAATTCCCAGGACGTCAACAAGACCGTGCTTGGCCAGGATGGTCACAAGAGATGAACAGATATTCTGGCAGGCAGGGAGGGAATGCTGCGTTTTACAGAACTTAAATTGGTTAATACATGAGTGGGTTTTCACCGGTAAAACTGACTCAGGGAGTCTCCTGTGCCAAAGCTCCAAATCTGGACTCTGAATCATGAGCTGCTATTCTTTAATAGCTCTTAATAAAGCAAAAGATGTGGTTTCAACCAAAATTTTTCTGGGGGAAAAATACCTCTCTGATGATGACTACTTCTTGGTCTATTAATAATCAGATGAAACGATTTTGCTCCAAATTTGGTGCGCGCTAAAGTTTCTCCTCAGGCACAAGAAGCTAACTTCAAAAGTTTTAGCTATGGCAGGTGTAAGTTCAAGGAAGCCACGACCCACTGCTGTCCTTCAGAATAGAAAAGGTGCCAATTGGACCCGCGGGTCTTGCTGTGCCTCTTACCTACGGGGTGTTAGCGTTGTGAAATCCGTGCCTCTGGTCAACCAAAACAGCTCTGAAAATGAATGAGGTGCACACAGGGGCTAATTATTTTCCTGGGGAGGGCGACGGGAGCAGCCCCTAGAAAAGGCTGCGAATGCGGTGGGGGCGGCAGGAGGCAAGCGGCAGTTGTCCCATGTCAGGTGTACAAGAGAGAGCTATGCCTGAGTGGGACCGGGATTACCGGGAGAAGTTCAGCGCTCGGCTCTGTGCTCCCCAACTGAGCCGCGGGGTAGTAGCGCAGTGCGTGCGTGTCTCGTGAAATGCAGCAGGCGTTACCACGTGGAGTCGATGGTTCTCATGGGAAAGGCTCTGTTACCCCGGTGAGTAGGAAGTGTCTCAGCAACCCAGTGCATTGAGAGTACGTGTCAATTGTTTCCTTCCAGGCGCTTTGGGAAGGGAGCCTAGAAGTTTATCTCAGCGTCCGCAACAATATAAACAGATGCCAAGCACTTCAAGTACGCAGAAAAGGAAAATGTCTCGCTTGGCCTCCCTGAACAGACTGGGAGGAGGACGGGACGGGGGGTGGGGGAGAGACGAAAAGTAAGCCTCTCCCTTGCAGAACATGGTAACGCAGCTAAGTAATGCAGATGTTTGCCTGCGTATATACAATTTAGTTTCATATTACCAAAATCTGTACTGTGCACACGTGGTCAAAAGATTAAAGAGATTGTCCAGTTCTGTTAGCAGCATATTAAGGTATTAAGACTACAGGCTTCCTATGATGTGTTTCTGTTGTCAAGCTGACCACAGAATGCAAGTGATTCAAAGGAGGACGTTGTTTTAATACAGATACTGGAGTCGCCCCATCCGTTTCCATCGGGCTTTTGGATGCCGTCTCTCCTGTAAGAGTCCCTTGGGAACGGCTACCACCACCCTGTCTGTCCCAGGGCCATCCCTACCCCACAGCTCAGATAAGATTTCCCCTTCTCTGTCCCTATGCGGCGTTTAAGCCATCTGCCACGTTAAAGCTGACGTTTCCAGCTGCTGGAAGAGCTTTCCTGGTTTCCTTAGACGCTAAATCATTTCTTCAGGTGCTGATCTGTAAAGTCTCGCTGCAGACATCTCCAGCTTGGGCATCGTGGCTCTGCCCACCCCCTCTGTGGCGCGAGCCCCCTTCTCGGAGGTTGCGGCGCTGGCACGCTGGGCTGCAGGCAGCAGATGCGGCTCCTTTTTCTTCTGTCGCTGTTGTGCTGCCTGATTTTGGATCTTGCTCGACCCCGGACTGCTGTTTCGTTTTTTGGTCCTGCTCCCTGGGGTGGCAAGTCACTGGCGTCCGCTACCGTAGCGGATGGCTGTACGGCTGTTGACGCCCAGCACCGGCAGGAGATGCGCGTGTAGCGGTCAACTTCTAATATCTCAGCCTGGATAATACTGGCTAAAACAATAACTGTAACTTCACCCGGAGAGATTTTCACTAACCCATTATAGCTGTTGGTTTGTATCTTGACATCGCAGACACTTTTTCTCTTCATATGTGTTCTGTTTATTTAGTATGGTCTTCTGCATAGTTGCCACCATAAACTTGAGCTCGCTGTAGGACTCTCGCCACCGGACGGATGATGCGATCCGCTTCAGGGCCATCACAGGTCCCGTCGCATCACCGCGTCTGTGAGCGAGAAGGGAATTTCTTGAGAAGCCTTCCCTTTCTATTACCATTTCCACGTAACAAATTACTTTGGAGCCAAAACGCATCATACTTTGTGCCTGTCTGGGGATGAATGTATTTTTTTCTATTGATCATATTGGAAAACATTTTTTTTTTTTTAGGCTTTTTCAGGGTTTTTTTTTATACTTCAGTAATTCAACAACTGCACACATTGCAATTTTCTATTTTCAAAAGAGCTACCGCTGGGGCTCTGTATACCACCTTGATAGGTCTGCTGGGCTATAGAGCATGTGTGTAGGTAGGTATGAGAGACAGCGTAACGTGCACAGGGCATGAGCTATTTTCATAAGCTTCTGGCCCCATCCTTGCATACAGCTCATCGTTCCGTTATTTGCAAAGCCCTTGGGGAACTCGCTTAGCTATTTTAAAGTTGCTGTCAAGGAGGGCCACTCCGGTCAAGCAGCTTTTTAAAGGACCTTGGATGCTTTCAGTATGAAAATTTACATGCGAAAAAAGATGAAGGACCCTTCAGACTTTACCGCTGGCCTCGGGAGCCTGTGGAATTTGAAACGGTAAATGTGGGGTGTTGTTTTTCACGGAAAGGGCAGTTTGTTCTGGAAATTGGGGTGCTTTGTGCCTAAACTTTCCGTTGCTCCATCTCAAAGATTGGATTTATCACAAGGAGGAATGAGAGAGGCGTGTTTAGCGGTGAAGTTACCTGCTAGCTGCAGACCCCGGCTTTGCTGTTGGCGCTGGCGTTTCCAGAGCAGCCTCCCGTGTCTTGCAAGTAGGTGCTTCATCTGGAGCCCTGCGTTGCGGCTGCAAAGCCCACGGTAACCAGAGCCGCAGCTTGCGGCGGAAAGGGAACAGCAGTGCACGCTCCGTAATTGGGGAGCGTCGGTGGAGGGGGGTCGGTGGCAAGGGCCAATTTTCTCTCGTTCTCGAGCGTGTGACCGCACTACCGAGTGAAGCCTGACTTCTGTTACTCCCTTGACTTAATTCTTTATTCCGGAGCAAGAGGGAGTATGGCTGCTGCAGAAGAGAGGTGGGTGCAGCTCGGAGCTGAACGGGGAGGCGTCGCAGGGCTCTGCGTCTGGTGACGCAGAAGCAGCTCTGGCTTTGGGACGCTGTCGCCGTCGTCTTGCTGGGTGCCCGCCCATTTGGCAGAAGTCCTTCTGGTTTCAGGAGTGACGTGATTTCACTCCGTGGAGCGTGTTTCAAGAGAGAGTTTCGGCTGAATGTCTTCTGTGGGAGGTATCTGGAATCAGGACTGAGGGGTGTCTTCTCTGTGCTTCCTGCTCAAAGCCACAGCCAAGTCACGGAGGCTGGGATCCGAAGGCTGCTGTGTGGGGGGGGTCTCCCCTCTCTCCGGGGAGGCACCCACCGAAAGAGTTGGGGTGGAACAGTGCTGTGGAACGGAGTGCAACTTCCTGAAAGCTGTAGCCTCTGCCTTCTCTGGAATACGTCATCTGGTTTGCTGGCGTGGGGTTTTACTAGCCATGCGTTGGTGCAAGGTGTAAGCATGTGCTAAGAATAGATGGATGTGAGGTGACCGAGACGGTGACTCTGCTGAAACGCTCCGCTGGGAGCAGGAGTAAATGACTGTGCCTACAGAGAAATCTATTTGTTCTTACCCGTGTTGGCGGCTCGTGCATTCAGATAAATGTACTTCAGCCGGTAACAGGGCACCTGTGTTTGTCTGAAACTCTCTGCTTGGCTACACAGAGAGAGGAGTGGGGAAACCAAGTTGGGCCAAAAGCGTAGAATACTGCTGTCGCGTATCACGAGTTAAATCTGAAGGAGCTGTTTTTAAAGCTTCAAGTAAGATGACTGAATTATCTGGCCCCAGAAAAAGGCATGTAAATGCTTTCTACAGGATATTTATCCCAAGTTGGTAGAAGTGCAGAAAGTGCTGAAAATAATTATCAAACTCTGCAAAAAGGCAAGCGTAGTTTAAGTGCTTTAGTTTGAAACGAAAGCCTATATGAAAGGGAACAGGAATACTTTGTACTTACAGTGAGCATATGAAATTTGGCACTTAGTCTTTTATTACTTAATTTTAATTTTTGAAAGCATCAGGTACTTAGAAGTTTACTGTAGCTTATGTTAGTAGTCCTTCCTCATCTGCTGGGTTATAAAAGTACCCTAATGGTACTTTGACACTTGTTATACAATGCACTACATAGTCAAGTGATGTAAACTTTGTTGCTCTAAGCTCTTCAATTAAGCTGGAGCAGTTTGCACAAGGTAGACGTTAAGTCCAGCCAATGTATTTGGTAAAACAAATGGAAAAATTAACGTGGATCATTTTTGAAGAGCACTGTATTCTATGTTGCAAAATTAGTGCAATGGTCTTCTGTGGTTATTTTTATTTTCAAGTGAGTCACAAGGACAGAATAATTATCAGCGAGTCTGCACTGGCATGCACTCTCAGAATGATTGTACAAAAAATACTGTTCCAAATGGTAGCTTAAGAGCTCCTAGCTCACCTTTGGAGCCAAGAAGCATAGTGCCAACTAACGTTAGGCCAGCAAAGAAGGATACTTCACTTGCCTATTTGAATGAAATGCAACATGAAGCGTACTGGCCAGCGATGCACAAACTGTATGCCAAGTTAATATTTGCTGTGCTTGCATTCCCTAGGTCATCACACTATTTACATTGGGGTCCACGTGCCGAAGAGCTATAGGAGAAGGAGGCGTCATAGAAGAAGACCTGGGCACAAAGAAAAGAAAGAAAAGGAGAAAATCTCCGAGAACTACTCCGACAAATCAGACGTAGAGAACGCTGATGAGACAAGCAGCAGCATCCTTAAACCGCTCAGTAAGTACTGGTTTCAGATTTCGCTTGCTACAATGGTCTGTTGTCTAGCGATCCACTCCTGATCTGATCATGGAGGGGGAAACTGGATCCGCAAAAACAGTGACCTCACGTTGCAAGGTCAGAGTAGTCTCAATCGGTTGCTGTCAAATGGTTGCTGTGGCTTGGACAAGGCACAGGCTGGAGCAGACGTTTCATCCTTCTGTATCACCTGCGTTTGCTCCTGAGCTAATGCCAACCCAGGAAGAGGCCAAATTTTTAAAAGCAATTTGACACTGTGAGTAAAGAGATAGCAAGGAAATGCAAAGAGCGAGTAGATGCCTAGACAGATCTGTTGCAGCTTCTGCCCTAGCTCTCAGGATGTGCACCCTCTCTAGAATTTGAGCACCCCATGGTTTCAGCTAGAAACGGCCTCATGGAAGCAGGCTGATGAGAAGTACAGAGGCCACCAAGCTATAGGCTGTGAGAAACACACCCACTTGGGATTTGGCTTCTTTGCATCAATAACTTGTGGTGCTAATAAGTCTTTTCCCTTCAGTAACTAACCTTAAAACCAGTTTTTTAAGTTTTGCAAACAAGAAGAAGAATAAATTGTAGCATTACTGTGTGTTTGAGTATCTGTAGGCGTTGAATATCTGAGTTTTTTGATAGGCAGATGAGATCTGTTTTGGATGCCCTGTATCTCCATTCCTACTGGAATTGTTAAGCAGAGGAGAGAGATCTTTATCTAGTGTCATCACTGTGCAGCTCTTCAGTACTGCTGTAGGAGACTTGTCATAAAGTCCCGTTCCTCTTGCTGTCTTCTCTGTTGGCCACAAGCTTGTTCCGAAATCTGGGAGATGGCTGCTTAAATAGAAGTGGGAGAGAGATGGTGACAGCCTGCTAAAACGGGAACACGCTAACAAGCTTTGAATATAGGATGACAGCCCGGGATATGGTATAGCTTAGATTATTGAGGCTAGTTGCAGGTGGTTGGGGTTTTGTTAAAGAGCGTGTTTGTAAGTGGGAAAATGCTTCCTGTGCGAGAGAGAGAGGAGCAAACAGAGGTCGTACAACCTGATCTTTGCAGAAATATGTGAATGTTTCATTCTGAAATGATGTTGCTGGCTATTTGCCGCATATAAAGACAGTAACATGGGATCAGATCGGTCTTGTCTTTAGCTCAGGGCCTGTTTAGGTGCAGATACTTCAGAGAGCAGCAACTTGAAAGGAAGGCAAATCACAAAGTAGTAGTAGTGCCCTAGTTGTCCCAGGGAAGTTTTCTTGTCAACGCTCAGAAATCAGGAGTTGGTTTTACACCGAAAGAGATAATTACCTGTCTTCAAGAACTCTTTGGTGTGCGAGTGACCAGATCTGTAGAAATTCCTTTTTGGCTTTTGGATGTATCGATATCCTAGGGGAATTGTTTCCACAGGCTAATTGTGCCCGTGGTTGAAAACCGATTTCCTCCATCAGGTTTTGATCTTCTGCCTTTCATTTTGTTCTGCATGGTTTCTGTTTTGTGTCATCTGAGAAAGGGTTAATGGCATTTTTTCCTCTGTTTCTACAGGTTTGGGATGTTCTGTCTGCTCTCTATCTGCATGTAAAAATGTGCAGTCTTTCATCTCTATCCCATAGACTTTTCCACCCTGACCTTTTTTGCACTACGTATTTTTGGAATGGGATCACTTAAATACCACACAATACTCCAGGTGTCCCGTGCAATAGCATTAATACTACATAATTTGAAACTTTTTCTGTATTGTTCTCAGTCTCATGTACCCAGATACTTTAGCAGGTTCTTGCAGGGACTTGCTGTTTTGCACTGGTGGCCAGATCTTTTTTCAAGCTGGGGCAGTTAATTCAGAACATTGTAAAGGATAGGAGTAGTTCAGATTACTGTCTAGTATTTCCAAACATTGAATTACACATTGCCTCATCTCCCCAGGTTTTTTCCCTTTGGAAACTCTTGCCTTTGTAGGTGACCTGAATTATTTGTTTCCTATGCTGTTTTTACCTGCTAACAACCCTTTCTTGTCTAGTTCCGCGTACGTAGTAACGCCAGGCTGCCTTCAGAAATTTCTGCTGTTCCGCTGTTGACGTTCTCCATCATTTATAAACGGCTCTTTATTTCCATTTCGTTTTCTGCCTCTTAGGTGATTGCCGATTTGAGACACTTGTTGGATGTTCAGACTGTGCCAGCTTCAGATGTCTGTTACTGGAATTTGATGAAGGCTTTTTGAGGGTCGGAATAGCTTATGTGCGCCGTATATCCAATATCCAGCTGCTGCGTTCACTTGTAGTTATGGCAAGCGTGTCTGAGAGAAGACTAGTTCTTTTCAAAGAAAATAGTCTGATACTCACTACTGGCAGCCATGGCAAGAAATCCCTGTTATAACCCTGGTTTTTTAATCTCATATATTGATTGTAAACAAGTTAGTGGTACATGGCTCAAATGCTGTTTCAAAAGAGCGTTAAGGATATTAGAAACAAAGAATTGGGGAATCCTGAACAGCAATTTTAATGGAGTTGGAAGAAAGCTGGTATGAATATGCATATATTTGAGACAGCTGCCAGTAGAGAGTATGTGGCATAGGAAGCTGAAGTATCTGTTAGGACTTAACCCTGTGGTTTAGCGGAGTGGGACAGGGCGAAGGCATTTGCTATGGAGTCGGGGTGCCGGCTGGCCAGCGGAGAAGAAGTGGCTGCCTTGTGGTGGGGTAGGAGGGAGTTTTGGTTTTTGCTTTTCTTCTTTGAAGGGGGGAGAATGTAACAGAAACTGAGCAAGAAGTGAAATGCGGGGCGTGGAGACAACTGGAGAGTGAGCGTTAGTCTAACATGCTTGAAGTCATTTTGCAGGGATAGATGATTATAAAGGGACTGCATCTGTTGGAGCTAGGCCAGCTCTGCGGGGACTTGGTGGATATGCACGTGAGGTATGCGGCGTTTCCATCGCATCAGAAGAGGAGGGGGGCAAAAAAAGAAGTGCCGGACACCAAGGAAAAAGGAAATCCTGAGCCCGCTGGGCCCTCTTATGCAGCTCAGCGCCTTTCTTGTGAAGGGACCCGAGAGCAGAAGAGCGAGGGTGTTGCAGTTTCCAGGATTAAGGGCTGCTGGGACAGCTGCGTTAACGACCTTTGCGTAACACGCTGTGCGTGTTGGCTGGCTGGAGCCGGGGACTGTGCTCACCGCTAAGAAAAGGGATCGGATTCATGCGCTCTTCGGGGCTCGATGAATAGCGTGTTGTGAAGATGATGTGTAGGTCACTGCCTTCAGAAAGGCTGCGGAGGAGGTGGTAGGTGTTTGCAAGTTTAATGAGATAAACAGCACTTTCCTTTTATTATGTAGTTAATGATGAGATGAAGGGACTGAACTGGATGACGTTTCAGTCTTTTCCTTAGAATTGGAAGATTTTTGGGTTCATGTGTTCTGTTTTGTTAACCATGTTTTAAAACAAGCAAACCCCACTTTTACATAAAGAAACCCCAAACGTCTTGAAGAAAGGTACAGTGCATCTCAGTTTCTAACATCGAGAATTTAGATAACTCCTTCTCTTTGTTGACTTTTGCAGTTATTAACACGGCCAAGTATTAGACACTGTCAGTTCAGCTAGTACGTAATTGGTAGTTTATTTCATCTTCAAATATAAGGACAAGCGTATAAAATCTGATTTGCAAAATCTTTAATAACGTGGTTGTTAAAGTAGTTCCTAGAAGTTTACGAAACGATTGTCTCCGTTATACTGAGCGCTTTGTTTTTATTGAGTAGAAAGCTTAAGCCAGCTTTGATTTGATACCTCACTTCTATTCCTTTCTGTCCGTAAGGACCACGAAGTCTAAATCTAGATATCTTACCCGAAGATGATTTCTCAGCTTCTTTGGTGAAAACCGTGCAAATCAGAGCATGATCAAATCTGGGTTGGACTCACCAGGCCAAGCTGCTTGTGCCACAACAAACGAACCTGATGGAACATGTCTGTGATTACAGGCAAGAGAGTAAACGGGTCCAGAAATGCAAACCTTCCCTATAAACATTTTGTTCCAGTTCGAAACCTGTCCAGTTGCACTTCTCTCTTTGGGAACTGGTGCAGTCTGGAAATGTCACTCTTTTTTTTTTTAATCTGTGTCTTGTTCAGTCGAGCAAGCCAAACTCCGGTAGTTTACGAACAACCTTCAGCTCTCCCATCTGGAGAGAGTTAGGGACATTGAACATGTACAGATATGTTTTACCCTAAGTAAATTATTGCTTGGGAAAGATGCCTCCTTCAAAAAATCCAGACAGGGATATTTTCTGATACACTGAGGAGGAGGCTTGAAGGCGACGTTCCCTCTGCAGAGCCCTTTCAGTATATTCCAGGCCTGCAGGGCTGTCTCTGCGCTCGGGGAGAAAACGGGCGTTCACACCCTTGTTCTCAGGCAGGACTGCTGACTCCGGTGCTCGCTGAAATGTGGCTTCCTTTAACCGCAGACTATTACCCATCCATGTTCCAGATGCAGTGTACCAGCCCTTTATTTCCAAAAGCACCTCCTGTAACCAGCCTGGCCCCAGTTTCCACTTAGAACCGGTAAGAAGGAAACACTTTTTATAACCGTCCAGGAAGCTGGCATACAAGTATTTTTGAGGTAAACAAAAAAATTAATTATATTATTGCGTTACTGGTACGCAGGCTTGAAACACCCTCTTCTTATCTGCCTAAAACACACTAAGAGTTGGAAAAGAAGCGAAGATTTATGCTGTCAGAACACTGCGGATGGGGAAGGATGGCATACTGCGAAACGATGAATAAAATGGGGTTTTCAGAGGGAAGGTTTAGTGATTTTTGTAGTGCTAATGTCTGGAGGATTGACCCGCTAGTATTTTGGGCACGTTCTGTGGGTCTGTGATTAACTATGGTTAATGCAGTTAGAGGTGTGGAGGAAGGACTCAGCTGGCCAGGGAAGAGACTTGATGGTGGAGGAGAGACTTGATGGTGGAGGAGAGACCTGATGGTGGGGGAGAGACTTGATGGTGGAGGAGAGACTTGA